CTCCCATTGACCACGGTTTTTATCATTACTCGTACTGGACAACAAATTCCATTGGAAGTTCTTGTAGTTGATGAGATAGCAACACCCCTCCAGATCCCAACTCGCCAGCACATAACCGACATGCCACATCTGAAGGATCTAACCCTAGCGCATCCTATAACAACTCAAGAGGACTTTCGCGTATCATTACTTATTGGAGCTGACCATTATTGGGATATTATAGAAGACAAAGTGATTCGCGGCCAGGGCCCCACTGCTGTTGCGTCCAAACTCGGCTATCTCCTTTCTGGGCCATTACCATCACCCTTCCGACCTCCCACTACACTTGTAAATTTGTTACAAGCAATCAAATCTACCAAGCAAACAGAATTTGACCTAGAAAAGTTTTGGTCCCTCGAGTCGATCGGCATTACTCCACCCTCCCACACCGAAAACCAAGGAGATTTCTTGGGAAACTACATTGACACCTCCATTACCAGAAACCCAAATGGCAGTTATACAGCTAAATTCCCATGGAAAGATGATATACCAGCACTCCCAGACAATTACTTGGCATGTGAGCGTCGCACCCGAGCAATGATACGTCGACTTACCGCTACCCCTGACCTTCTGAAACAGTACGGGGACATTATCAAAGAGCAAACCAAACGAGGATTCATTGAAAAGGTTGAAGAAACCAAACCAACTGATAAAACACATTACATTCCACACCACCCCATCCAGAAGGAATCGACAACAACACCAGTCAGAGTTGTCTTCGACTGCAGCTTTCACTCATCACCGAATTCTCCTAGTTTGAATGACTGTCCTCACTGGCCCACCGTTCTTAAATGACATGTGTGCCGGCTATTTTACTACGGTTCCGCTCATTCACCTATGGCCTATCCGCCGACATTGAGAAAGCCTTCCTCCATGTTGGACTCGATGAAAGTGATCGAGACTTCACTAGATTTCTTTGGCTGTCAGACCCTACAAACCCAGAGAGCAAATTTGACACCTTCCGCTTCAAAACCGTCCTTTTTGGATCAACAAGCTCCCCCTTTATGTTGAATGCTACCCTTCGTTCCCACCTAGAAAACTACGATCTACCCACAGCTTAAAACATAAGGGACAATATTTATGTCGACAACATTATCTCTGGCTGTGACCAAGAAACGAGAAGTATCCAATACTACAACGAAGCCCGATCTATCATGCACGATGCACACTTCAATCTCCACTCTTGGACAACAAAGAGTCCTTCGCTCCAAGAAATAGCTGTAAAGGACGGAACAGCTGATCCAAAACCCATAGTCAACATCCTCGGTTTAAAATGGAACCCATCGACAGATACTCTAGCCTTCCCATCAACCCAGGCTACACACCACCCTCAACTATCACTAAACGTCATGTATTGCAAATCTCCTCCAAAATCTACGACCCTCTAGGCTTCCTATTACCTGTGACCATCAAAGCCAAACTGTTCATCCAAGAACTGTGGCAAAACGAACTGGAGTGGGATGAACCATTACCTCTTGAACTGAAAAACAAGTGGTTAAACATTACAAAGGATCTACAAGAATTAATCAACATTTCTATACCAAGGAAATACTTTCCCCAAACTCCCTTCCCAACGTCCACAACATACATCCATGTATTTGTCGATGCCTATGGAGCTGTCCCATACCTTACTAATGAGAACCAATCGTCACTCATCATGGCAAAATCTCGAGTCGCACCCATGAAGGAACTAACCCTTCCCCAGTTGGAATTAATGGCGGCCGTAATCGGAACACGACTAGCTAATTTCCTATCCTGTACCCTTAGTTCCAGATATCCCAACCTAAAGGTAAAGCTCTGGACCGACAGTGAAATAGTACTACATTGGCTCAATAACAACAAACCACAAAACAGTTCATAATGCATCGCATTAAGGAAATGAAAAACCAGTTTCCCACATCAACTTGGAACCACTGCAAAACCGATCAAAACCCAGCTGATTTGCTTACCCGTGGCATCACACCATCCCAGTTACAATCATCGTCTTTGTGGGAAAAGGGACCGACATGGTTACTACAAGAATCAGAATGGCCACTTTGGAATCCCTCACGCATAATAAACCTCTCCCTTTTCGAAAAAGAGACGGTAGAACCAACTACAATCACATCAAGCGAAACTAACCCAGAAGACACAAAGTCGGGAATTCACATCGTCATTGACACAGCTCGGTACAGTTCATTAGCAAAACTACTGTCTGTCACTACCTATGTCTATCGCTTTCTTCAGAATATTCGTAAGTCAAGAATCGCAGGGCCAATCTCCACAGCAGAAAGAAAAACAGCATTGAAAGTGTGGATCAAAAATTGCCAAACTGTGCCCTACAGCAACGAAATCGCCAATCTCACATCCCCGTCCATCCTCCCATGTTCGTCTTCCCTTAGTACGACAGCTTCGACTATTCTTAGACCAAGACGGATTTCTTCGTTGCGGCGGGAGGATACATAATGCGCCACTTAGCGAACTCGCCAGATTTCCATACCTACTCCCAAAAAACGATAGACTCACTGAACTGATCGTGCAAGACACCCATCATAAACAATTACACTCTGGAATCAATGCCACCGTCACTGCACTTCGACAAAGCTACTGGATAACCTCCATACGTCAATATGTAAGGAAGTTACTTCGACGCTGTGTCACCTGTCGGAAAGTTACCGGTACTCCATTTAAGACCCCAGACCCCGCACCTCTACCAAAAATCAGAGTCTAAGAAAGACCACCATTCACCGTGACAGGAGTGGACTTCGCCGGACCTCTTACGTCAGAAGCCAACTTGGAGAAACAAAGACCTACGTATGCTGTTTACGTGTGCCGTAACAAGAAGTGTTCATCTAGAAATTGTCACAGATTTATCGAAGGAGAAGTTTCTTTTAGCCTTTCGCCGTTTTTCAAGTCGGAAGTCTCTTCCTTTCACCATGATTTCAGATAATGCTTCCACCTACATAGCCTCGGCACAAACCCTGAAGGAATTATTTGAATCTCCGTCACTCAAAGAAGCCTTCAGCAGACAAGGCGTCGACTGGAAATTTATACCAAAGCGTGCGCCCTGGTACGGCGGCTTTTGGGAGCGCCTAGTCGGTTTAACAAAGACGGCATTAAAGAAGACACTAGGTAGAGCATCGATAACACTTGAAGAACTCCAGACCCTCATCGTCGAGGTAGAAGCCATCCTAAATGATCGTCCAATTACGTTTGTGTCAAGTGATATAAACGATGAAGAGCCATTAACGCCATCGCACTTGTTGTACGGAAGAAGAATCACGTCATTACCGTTTGACACACCAATCTCTGCTGATGAACTATCAGACCCAGATTATGGAAGCGAGACAAATATTCGACGTCGAGTGAAACTACAAGCTATCCTGCTACAACAGTTCTGGAAAAGATGGAAACATGAATATTTAACGTCGCTACGGGAATTCCACCGTTCTAGTGGGGACAATAAGGAGATTATCAGGAAGGGAGACGTAGTTCTAGTTCACGATGACAATCTGAGATCTACTTGGAGACTAGCGGTTGTTGAAGATCTAATTCGAGGAGGTGATGAATTGGTCCGAGCGGCAAGTATTCGAACAAGCACAGGATATACGAACAGACCGATTTGCAAATTATATCCGTTGGAATTGTCAACAAATGAAGATTAGGGAAAGGAGACAACCAACCATAATGACCAAGAAAATCTCGTCAACTATTCAACAGAACGAGAGAAACCGGTTAGCAAAAAGACCAGTGAGAAATTCTGCTACGAAAGCAGTCAATAGAATTTCAGAATGGACAAAGATCTTACGCCGTCCCCGGAGGATGTAGAAGATATGTGAACATTCCAGTGACACATATATAGTTCAGTACTCTAGCGCATGCGGCAAAGTGGAGAACATGTGTTCCGCTAACGACAATAGAATTCTAGTTTACATGTTTCACGTTTGTACTATTTCTATCGATCTAATCCACGAAATAAAACAAAGTTATCAAATCCTTTCCGTCATATATATTATACTCTACAGTTTTATCGGGAGATTGCAACTTGAGTTCAACACTGCTTTTTTCCTTAAAAGCTAAGAAAGAAACTCAATCGCGCAAAAATTTCAAGGTATGAGGGTGATCCGGGCTTGCACGGGAATCGAACCCGTGACCTCTCGCACCCAAAGCGAGAATCATACCACTAGACCAGCAAGCCACACCTGGGGAAATAGTTCATTATCTTTCGGTAAAATTTTAAAAAAATCCGGTATATTACATGAAAAACTAAGGTTCAAGAGATTTCCGTTAATTCGTGCGGAAAACATCCCATTTTGCCGTCGAAAACAAGCCTATAAAAGAGCAATAATTTCTGAATAGAGGTCCCTTTGACAAGAGGTAATTACGTCTTAGTCCAATCACCATGTCTACTTACATTATTTTTTAGTAACCGAATGGGAACGCATAAATTTGCGTTAAAAGGGTATAATATTAACCATTTCACATCAAGTATTAGAAAGACTGAAAAAAAAGCAAAGGGTCTCGTGGAACTCGCTGTGACGGTTGGCGGAAGCTTTTATCATAGGAATTGATTATTTATAGAAATCAGGCAGTTCACAGGGCGTGTAAATAGATCATGCATCAGTCATTGTGCTTCACAGCATTCAGCAGCATATCCGAGACAACAATTCAACTGCAATCAATGGCTGCTAATTCTGATTTCAAGCTTTAGCAGTTTTGGTCCGGGACGTTAAGTTTTTATTTTTATTAGTTGTTCTCTACAACATAAGATATTACACGCTTTCTTATTTCAAATTAGAACTTATATAAGATGAGCCTACACAAGAAGTTTCATTATTTACCATGCCCAAGTTTAAGGGTTAGGTACGTTACCTATATGAACAAGCTTTGCTCTTGGTTGATGATAAAAATAGAACACAATAAAATACAATGAATTAGTATAGAAATCAAATACTTATTGAGTTTAGGTGGAAAATGTGAAGAGCCTCGTCAGAGATTCGAACTCTGGACCCCTGGTTTACAAGACCAGTGCTCTAACCACTCAGCTAAGGAGGCACCCAGAAAAAAATGTATGCGCAAATAGAAATATAAACAAATGTTTCAAAAAACATATTTTGAAGGTAAATATTTTCACGGCGAACATTGAATGCGTAATGATCACAAATATTTAAGTCTTTTACTCACCCTCACCATAGACATGAGTTAAAAAAAATTAAGCCTTATTAGAGAGTTGAACTCCGGACCCCTGGTTTACGAGACCAGTGCTGTAACCACTGAGCTAATAAGGCAAATCCGTAACTTTTCTAAAAAAGGTAAAATGAATCACCAGCGAAAAATAGTTATTCCTGATAAGCTAAACCTAAAAGGGAAAACATTAGTGTTAAAGTTTGGTCGATCATTTCAGTAGCTTTCACAAACACCGTCCATGAGATTATCCTTTAGACGATGGCAATGGTAATCATACGGTGATATGATAGTCGAAAATTTTACAGCGTTTTTTTTTAGTTACAAATTATTCTTGAGTTATAAAAAATGTGCCACGCACTATAAAAAAGTCGCACGAATTCATTTTCCTGATGTTCAGTACTTGTATATGATGATTGATAAGGTCTACAACGTCTACATTTATGCATACTAGATCTCCTTCTTGCATGTATATTGATAGGATTGATACTGCATGGAAAAAGTTTATCGGGAGATTGCAACTTGAGTTTAGCACTGCTTTTTTTATTAACAGCTCATCATACACATCTGACCCGTAATGTGATGTATAGTCTAAACACGCTCATTATTAAGATGAAGAATTTTTATATATATATTCCCCTCTACCAGGTATGGTGCTCTGGTTTACAAATATAATATAGAACATTCATGTGCCCAGAAAGTCATTCAAAAAACCTAAACTGCATGGATTGTTTATCAAACGTACGGCTGTTCGCCACGAAAATAAATTGGGAATTTTCATGCACTAATGGGTACCAGATTCCCGGATTCGGTCTCCGAAGTGTTAACCATTACACCACAGAACCTAACCATCTACTGAAAGACACAGCAGAAATTGTTGTTTGAGACATTTCAACCCGGAAATATAATCGCTGGTTCCCAATCGTGTATTTCTGTACCGCTATCAAAGAGAAACCTTGTTGGAACGAAAATAAATTTGGGTTTTTTAATTCACTAATTAGTACGATAAAAATGTAGGATTTTTTTTTCATTGATAAAAGAGAAGGGAGCGAGCGGAGTTGAACCACTGACCTCTCGATCTGCAGTCGAATGCTCTACCACTGAGCTACACTCCCTGATCGTGCATACCTGTTTGATGCTATTCTCCTAAAAGAACATTTCCTGCTGTTCTTACCTTATTCGAAATAGCACAAATTTTATATTCATAGCATAGAAGCAGTGTGTAGCTAGCAGGGTGGCGCAGTGGAAGCGTGCTGGGCCCATAACCCAGAGGTCAATGGATCGAAACCATTTCCTGCTAAAGTTATCATTTCAATAAAAAAGATCTTTTCGAAATCTTATTCAAAAACATGTATTTTAAAAAATTTACATAAAGACATAAAATTAACAGTTCCAGCAAGGTTCTACCGAGAATTGAACTCGGATTCCCGGATTCAGAGTCCGAAGTGCTAACCATTACACCACAGAACCTAACCATCTACAGAAAGACACAGCAGAAATTGGTGTTTGAGACATTTCAACCCGGAAATCTAATCGCTGGTTCCCAATCGTGTATTTCTGTACCGCTATCAAAGAGAAACCTTTTGAATAGCATGAAAAAGTTCAATTTTTCTTCCGAATACGTATTCTGCAATCTTTTGACGACTCATCATATACATCTGACCCGCGCTGTGATGTATAGTCTATATACACGCACATAATTAAGATGAAGTATTTACATATATTCCCCCTATTCGAGGTATGGAGCCTTGGTTTACAAATATAATATACAACATGCATGTGTCCCAGAGAGTCATTCAAAAAACCTAAACTGCATGGATTGTTTATCAAACGTACGGCTTTTTCCCACGAAAATAAATTGGGATTTTTCATGCACTAATGGGTACCATAAAAATGTTTAAGTTTTCTTTCATTTATAGAACAGGAAGGAGCGAGCGGAGTTGAACCACTGACCCCAGTGACCTGTCAACCAGCAGTCGGATGCTCTACCACTATATATGCTACTCTCTCTGAGCGTTCCATGCAGCATACCTGTCATATGCTATATTCTTAGATACCTGTAAAAGAAAGCCTGAAATAAAAAATATATAAGGCGGAGAATGAATGTTTTCAAAGAGTTTCTACCAAGAGTTGAACTCCGATTCTCGAAGTCAGAGTCCGAAGTGATAACCATTACACCACAGACCTAAAAATCTATCAAACTTACTGACGAATTTGACTGCATATAGTATAAAATTATGTAGTTTGCTTCGCGCATTCACATTATTAAGATAAAGTATTCATATAATTATATTCGTGTAAAAATGTTGGATTTTTTTCATTGATAAAAGAGAATGGAGCGAGCGGAGTTGAACCACTGACCTCTCGATCTGCAGTCGAATGCTCTACCACTGAGCTACACTCCCTGATCGTGCATACCTGTTTGATGCTATTCTCCTAAAACAACATTTCTTGCTGTTCTTACCTTATTCGAAATAGCACAAGTTTTATATTCATAGCATAGAAGCAGTGTGCAGCAAGCAGGGTGCGCAGTGGAAGCGTGCTGGGCCCATAACCCAGAGGTCAATGGATCGAAACCATTTCCTGCTAAACTTATCATTTCAATAAAAAAGATCTTTTCGAAATCTTATTCAAAAACATATATTTTTTCTCAAATGGGCTATAAGAGAAAACCAGAGAAAAAAAATTTACATAAAGACATAAAATCAACAGTTCCAGCAAGGTTCTACCGAGAATTGAACTCGGATTCCCGGATTCAGAGTCCGAAGTGCTAACCATTACACCACAGAACCTAACCATCTACAGAAAGACACAGCAGAAATTGGTGTTTGAGACATTTCAACCCGGAAATCTAATCGCTGGTTCCCAATCGTGTATTTCTGTACCGCTATCAAAGAGAAACCTTTTGAATAGCATGAAAAAGTTCAATTTTTCTTCCGAATACGTATTCTGCAATCTTTTGACGACTCATCATATACATCTGACCCGCGCTGTGATGTATAGTCTATATACACGCACATAATTAAGATGAAGTATTTACATATATTCCCCCTATTCGAGGTATGGAGCCCTGGTTTACAAATATAATATAGAACATGCATGTGTCCCAGAGGGTCATTCAAAAAACCTAAACTGCATGGATTGTTTATCAAACGTACGGCTTTTTCCCACGAAAATAAATTGGGATTTTTCATGCACTAATGGGTACCATAAAAATGTTTAAGTTTTCTTTCATTTATAGAACAGGAAGGAGCGAGCGGAGTTGAACCACTGACCCCAGTGACCTGTCAACCAGCAGTCGGATGCTCTTCCACTATATATGCTACTCTCTCTGAGCGTTCCATGCAGCATACCTGTCATATGCTATATTCTTAGATACCTGTAAGAGAAAGCCATAAATAAAAAAATATATAAAGGCGGAGAATGAATGTTTTCAAAGAGTTTCTACCAAGAGTTGAACTCCGATTCTCGAAGTCAGAGTCCGAAGTGATAACCATTACACCACAGACCCTAAAAATCTATCAAACTTACTGACGAATGTTGACTGCATACTATAAATTATGTAGTTTGCTTCGCGCATTCACATTATTAAGATAAAGTTTTCATATAATTATATTCGTGTAAAAATGTTGGATTTTTTTTCATTGATAAAAGAGAAGGGAGCGAGCGGAGTTGAACCACTGACCTCTCGATCTGCAGTCGAATGCTCTACCACTGAGCTACACTCCCTGATCGTGCATACCTGTTTGATGCTATTCTCCTAAAACAACATTTCTTTCTGTTCTTACCTTATTCGAAATAGCACAAGTTTTATATTCATAGCATTGAAGCAGTGTGTAGCAAGCAGGGTGGCGCAGTGGAGCGTGCTGGGCCCAAACCCAGAGGTCAATGGATCGAAACCATTTCCTGCTAAACTTATCATTTCAATAAAAAAGATCTTTTCGAAATCTTATTCAAAAACATATATTTTTCTCAAATGGGCTATAAGAGAAAACCAGAGCTAAAAAATTTACATAAAGACAAAAATTAACAGTTCCAGCAAGGTTCTACCGAGAATTGAACTCGGATTCCCGGATTCAGAGTCCGAAGTGCTAACCATTACACCACAGAACCTAACCATCTACAGAAAGACACAGCAGAAATTGGTGTTTGAGACATTTCAACCCGGAAATCTAATCGCTGGTTCCCAATCGTGTATTTCTGTACCGCTATCAAAGAGAAACCTTTTGAATAGCATGAAAAAGTTCAATTTTCTTCCGAATACGTATTCTGCAATCTTTTGACGACTCATCATATACATCTGACCCGCGCTGTGATGTATAGTCTATATACACGCACATTATTAAGATGAAGTATTTACATATATTCCCCCTATTCGAGGTATGGAGCCCTGGTTTACAAATATAATATAGAACATGCATGTGTCCCAGAGAGTCATTCAAATTACCTAAACTGCTTGGATTGCTTATCAAACGTACGGCTTTTTCCCACGAAAATAAATTGGGATTTTTCATTCACTAATGGGTACCATAAAAATGTTTAAGTTTTCTTTCATTTATAGAACAGGAAGGAGCGAGCGGAGTTGAACCACTGACCCCAGTGACCTGTCAACCAGCAGTCGGATGCTCTTCCAATATATATGCTACTCTCTCTGAGCGTTCCATGCAGCATACCTGTCATATGCTATATTCTTAGATACCTGTAAGAGAAAGCCATAAATAAAAAAATATATAAAGGCGGAGAATGAATGTTTTCAAAGAGTTTCTACCAAGAGTTGAACTCCGATTCTCGAAGTCAGAGTCCGAAGTGATAACCATTACACCACAGACCCTAAAAATCTATCAAACTTACTGACGAATGTTGACTGCATA